TCAAAGGTAAATATAATAAATGTCAGGTGACAGGTTAGCTGCAGCGCTAAGTAGGTACCTACGATAATATTAGAATTCAAAATATACTAAATATAATAATATTATAATATATTATATACGATGATGATTCCTCGTGGGTTCAACACGTCCAAATAAGTTTCAAAATGTATCTTTTTTAAATACAGTGAAACCTCGGTATCTTGAACTCTGGTAACTCAAAAGATTAATATACAATATGGTTTTCGAAATAGTCATAATGTCTTATACGTTTAAAAAATGATCCTTCATAATAATATTATCAAATATTGTTATCAAGGTCTTCGGGGGAACACTCAGCGCAGAAAATGACACTGCACAGAGCACGTCAGAGGTGTTCGTCCATCGACGTGTCGTGCAATACACCGTTCACCTATTTTAGTGCTTTAGGTATATTATGTGGTGCGGTTACAACGAAATATTATGCAGTCATGTGTGGTAGTTTTTAATATTTTTGAGTACTATCTTTTCCTCATCACAAAAAAATATACCGGATGATTATTTTATCATTAAAAACTCGTTATTTCAAAAAGTATAAATGATTTTAAAAAATATTATATTAATATATTACTATGATATTGGACAATATGGACATCCTAAATATTATTATAAAATATTATAATACCTCACGAGTTCGAATAAAATTAATTTCGCGTGTGTGCATATGATAATATTAATACCTATGATTGATCTGTAGCGGTCGTTAGAAAAATATTTTTTCTTTCTACCTGCCAGCCACGCATTACCATAATAATAATAATAATATTAATAATACGTAAACTCGCGATAATATTATAATAATCGTATATCGCGGTATATAGGACGCTGATACGGTGCCCGTGGAATACGTAAACGCGGGCTCAACACAATATTATAATAATCGCATGTAAACGCGGGGCTAATGTGTAAAGGAAGAGGAGGAGAAGGAGGAGGACTACGACGAGGTAGGGTTGCGTACATATCGTAGCAGTGGTAGAAAGGTAGTACCTATTTGCGTTTGTTTCCAACTAAAAAAGGACGCGAGAACAGAGTAGTAATAATAATAATAATAATATGTTATTCGACGACCACTGGCCTTCGGGTCCCGGGGGCAGCCATGCAGGAAAGCATGCGAATGGGTCGGAGGGTGGTGCTGGTGGAGGGGTGACCGCCGGCGTGCGTGCGTGTGATGGGTGTGGGTGGGTGCGTTGCGCGAAAGGGGGTCGCGGCGGCTATGTTAGATGGTATTATAGGCATACATAGCCATATGGGTGCGCGCGAGCGCTCTCGTTTGTGTGTATTTAATATCATAATATTTTAATAGTATAATAATATTGTTATTGTTGTTATTGCGCGGACGCTCGGACGTATCCATGGCGACGAGTTTCGCTCGCGTTGTTGTGGCCGGCGGTCGTATCGTCGTCGTCCGCAGTCGTCGACGTGGCCACCGTCCGCCGCTTTGCAGTTACGTGCCATAGTCGACTTTGGCCGTCGCCACCAGCTTGCCCGTCCGCTGCGCGTTCGGCCGCGTACGCCTACCCACGGCGGCTACAGCGTCGGGGCAGTGGCGCGCGCGCGCTTGCGTGTGCGTGTGCACAAGCGGGTACCCATACGCCATTACGCAATAATAATAATATTATAACGTGCGTCCCGACGCTTATGCACGCACGCACGCACGGTCACTCGCGCACGTAACGACGCCGCGCTCGGTTGGCTTTGCAACAACAATGGCCCCAAACTCTCGTCGAATATATTATCATTATCATCATTATTATTATTATTATTTTAATGGATGCGATGTATTTTTATTCGCGTGCAAGCGGGTAGACCTTTGACGCCCGCGCCGAACGCGTCCGACGACAAGCGAGCACGAAACGCGCATTGGCGCATTTATAATATTATTATATAACATTTTATAGGTTTACATAAAATGCGTAACTGTGGTATACCTAAATACAACAGATACAATTATATATATCACCGTGGTTAGAGGTTAGACAAAAACCAAATTTTTCACATATTTTTTTGGGATTCTTACACAATATATGACTTTCAGTGGATTTGTGAATAACTGATTAAGTGGTAATATGTTTACACAATGTTAACCCGTTATATTGATCGTTCATTAAGTCTGTCAGTCAAAATAATAATCAAAAACATATTGTGAAAAAATAAAAATATTAAATAAATTTGAATTAGAATTTTAGAATATAGGCATATTATGGTTAAAAATTAAAATAAAACTTATAAGTTATAACTTTACAAGACTGTAATATATATATTATTTTTGGATTTCAGTTTAACAACATATTATTTTCTTTTTGAAATTAAACACTTTATAAGGTGTATAATATAATGTGTTAAATTTGGGCAGTTTTTATTTTCCAGTGTGGAACACGGGTACTTATAATTGTATGGTGTTTGAATAGGTACCTGCTCAATAAGATGATTTTAATTGACTTAAATGAGGGTAATTGAAAATATACAATAATAATTTCGGGAGCGTTTAAGGAATTGGGGCTTAGGCTGTGTACTGAAGCACATATACTATATATATTTTTTTGGTTTTGGACCAATTAGTGGAGGTTAGTTTATGTACTTCCGACTTTTAGTTACTGTTTTTATGTTTCTACACTCATGAGTTTAGATATAGCTTCTTTTAAAAAAAATATTTTTATATTTTTTATTATTTAACAAGTCTTAAAATCAAAATAATTTAAAAAACCAAAATATTATTTTCAATTCTATGTATTATTATAAATTATTATATGTTAGGTAGTAATAACGTTAAATATTTGTCTGATACATAACTATAGTAAAAACGCCAATAAATACAAATATTTTGACAACATTTAAATTGGACCACTAGTTATAATAATCCATACCCACTTAAAAAGATCTTCATCTTTTAGCAGTTTGCGCCAGTAAATTATAAGGTTTAGGCGGTCATTTTAGAATTTTAAATGATTTTAAACTTATCTGCCTCTCTCCTACTAACTTGCATTAATGTATGCACACAATATAAATGCCACCATAACGGAAGCTGAAGAATAAAATAGTTAAATATTATATAAATATATACATTTATATTCTTACAAATATTTTAAAACATTTCAAGAAAGTGTTGTAATGCCAGAGAACTAATATACCTATTTCAAGCGGCCTATATAGCAATAAGAATATTTTATAAATAAAACCACCTTCACGTGACCTTTTTTATAAATGTAATATTTATAGGTATCCGCTGACCAGTGGGGTGAACTATACTGCAGTGTAGAGTAGACCTCATAATATACTTTCGGTGGCCTTCGTACGACCTGGGGGACCTACAACGACGCCCCTATTTCATAATGTATATATTAAGTATCTAATGCATATTTTAACGTGGTATACATGTCGGCATTATCCAGTCACTGCAGGGTTTTAGGATATCCGTAAGCATGCGTAGATAAGGTTACTGATTTCGTTTTGAATTTTTGAATTTCCTACACATTATAATATTATATACTTACATAACGTATTGGAAATAACCATAGGACTTCCGGATTAAGCTCTATTTGACTATATAATATGTACCTAATGGATAATTGGTAGGTACCTAATTGTAAACAACAAAACATTGTAGCTGCAGGTATCTATTTCTATACTAGCTTATACTTTACATATATTTACAATTTTAGCAGCCCTACCCACCTACCCTACTATAATTTATTGATATGACGAGTATATGATAAGTATAATATAATTATGATGGAGATTGACCGTATATTGTAATTAATTAATTCGCAAACGTTCTCAAACATAGTACTATTATTCCTATAAATTGTTGTATCACATTATGATATGTATAATAATGACTACGGGGATTAATATTAAATAGTATTAGCCACGATTAATCGACCCAAGAGTTTTCGCTCGTTATTGTGTTAAAATAGGTGTATACCTATTGATGCCTATATATTCTGTATGACTGTATATAGTGTATATACATATGTTACAGTTAAAATCCGAAATTCGTCAAAACTAGTTATAACCATAGTCAATACTAGAATTAACCAGGACCCTCAACGTTGGAGCTAGTTTGAAATTAATTTTTGATTATACAACTACCTAGTTGTGTCTGAAATATAATGGTGAAAACTAAAACTATCTAATGAAAATTGATTTTCAGAATTTTCTCGAAAATTAATTTCACTCATGGTTAATATCAAAAATGCTGTTAAATATTACTGAAGAACTTTTCATCCAAGAAAAATTCAAACAATGAACAGTTAATATGTAATAACATTAATAAAGCTCTGTACGCGCAGCCATGCGAACTAAACTGAACATTTCAGTAAAAACAAGCTTTTTCATTTAGACATTTAAACTTGAAGTTTACTCTAGTTTTAATTAGTTAAAAATTAAAATCAATTTTAACGAAAGGTGGTCGTGAATCCTAGTTTTGATGAATTTCGGGTTTTAACTGTAACATATTATAATAATATATTATATTGCAAGACTTGTGTCAAATTCTTGGTTTACGCAGCGGACTTATACAAAACGTCGATTACTCACGAATTCGAATACTATTATACAGAAACTCGATGACAAAATCGAACACGGCCGGATATTTTTGTCTCCGACATCCTTAGAAATATACATTATATACACTCGGTAGTAGGTATATTCGCCAATTTCTCAAACGCGTTTAGTTTTAATATATATATACGGCGCATGCAGAGTTTAAGCGACATACGATATCACGTTCTATATAATATTATTATTATTATTATTATTATATCGTTACACGCCGAAGAGAATAAAATATATATTTCGTAAATAATATACACAGTAGAATGAAAATTTAAAAAAAATTGTATGCCGTAGCACACACGCATTATAATATATTATAATAATAATATGGCGGGTGCACAACACGCTACGCGCTGATGACGATGATGACGACGATGGTGACGATGTTCGTTGGCTGGTGCTGTAATCGATTATTTTTTGGTTTTCGGAATGGTCGTCCGGACATTTAATATCTTGTCGACGATTATTTTGTTTGTGCGCGTGATTTCTCTGTTACCCATTCTGCGATTAATTAAAGACGACGCCTCGTGACAGCGGCCAGTGGTCCGCCTGGCCACAGCAGCCGCCGACGTACGGTTGTTTTCTTCCGGGGCCGCGTACGCGTCTTTGATCTGTTGTGCCCTCTGTTGCCGGCTGGGTGACGCCCAGCGGTCATCTGACAGTCCTTCCACCGAGTTTCCATTCTCAGGGGAGTACAACCCCCGCAACCGAGCCAGCGCTTTTTTGCGACCAAGCGCCGGTTTTCTCTTTTTTCGGCCTTTGACGGCTGTAGTAACCGCCGTAAACCGTCTACCGGTGATGATCTCATCAGTTTCCAGCAGCCAAGAACTCGCCAGTGAACTATCGTCGCAGTCCCTGTCACCGTCGGTGCAGAAACTTTGAACAGAGTCCGTGGTGTCTTTGATCTGTTGTTCCCGACTACTGGACGCGGCCGAAGTATTTGCGAAATATTTACCGGAATCGACGACAGGTGTCAGATGCGGTGGTGGTGGCAGAAACGACGACGACAGTCCTTCCACCGGGTTTCTATTCTCAGTGGAGTGCGACCCCCTCAACTGAGTTATCGCTTTTTTTCGACCAAGCGCCGGGTTTTTCTTTTTCCGGCCTTTGACGGCTGTCGCGGTAACAACTTTTACTCGTTTGTTCGGCGACGGACGACTTCGTCTATCGGTGATGATCTCGTCAGTGTCCAGAAGCCAAGAACTCATCAAAGAACTATCGTCGCAGTCTCCGTCACCGTCGGTGCATAAACTTTGCCCCGAGTCTTTGGCGTCGTACCGATTGAACCCCGACCCCGAATCGTTCTCAACCATCGGACGATCGGTCGACAGTCGATCCTCGTCACTGGACCGCTTCGACATTTTGTTTTCTATTTCCGGCTGTTTTTCGATTTTGAGACCATCGCCGTCGTCAATAAACCTGAGCGATTCCTCGGCATACCGGTCTACTACTTTCAACGTCTCTACAGAAATCGGGTCGCCACCGCTGCCATACGTCGATGCGATGAAACTCGTACTTTTTTGCGAACTGCTGTCATTGCAGGATTTCGGACTGTTGGATGATTCATTAACTTCCGATGACGACGATTCGATTATACCGCTTATCCTCTCTGATTTCATGATAAAACGAGAAAAACACACGCATAAACGAATAAACGACGAAACAAAGATGAATGTTAAGTTTAGGTATAATAAAAAGCAATTATTCTAATTAATAAAAAATAAAATGCAATATTTAAATAATAGGTCTTAGTCGAACGAAAAAGTCCACATATTCACCTATATTTGAGCATATAACTTCAGTTTAACTAACACACATAATATGACTATATGTGTGTTATTAATCACTATCAATTGTATTCATTTTTAATTAAGCCAACATGATATTATTTTTCAATTAAATAGTTAACAGTATAAAATATATAAGCAATAAATACTATTATGATTCCCACTAGGGGTAATACTGGTAGATTTCGAATATTGACAAATTTATTATATTTTATAGGATGATATTCATATAAATAATATACCTATTACACATATTTAATTAGTGCTATCTACAATACTTTAATACCAATTCCCTGTGGTTTCCAACCAAATCGTTCATTCTTATTATTGTGGCTGTCTTGCTGTACATGTGAACAGGTTTCACATGTTATGCGTTAGTCTTTTGTCTTGAGGAATAAAAAAAATCATAAATAATGGATTACACCGTCATCCGATATCGTATTACCGAAGAGCAATTTATTTTTTGTTATTCTTCGAACCGCTGCCCATTCAAGAAGTCAACATACACCTGGACCTCTGGAAGGGACGGTCCGATCGTCAGGCGTGTATATTATACGTGTACGCATAACGACATTACATTGTTTCGTAACACAGTTAAATATACTGCAGGAGTACTATTTAAATAATGTGAGACTTAATAAGCGGCAGACAGTCAATATTCAATAGGTATGGTCATCTTGACAATAGGAGCATCTGGTTCTGGATATAATATATAATAACGGCTTCTATTTTTTTCTCATATTCATGTTTATATGTACATATGTGTGTATAATATAATGACCAAGTGTCTCATTAGAGGTTGACCATGATGTGAAACATGATGTGACGTATATTTCCGGGGAAAAACAAACCTAGTTTGTTAGTCAAATCGTTGGACTGTGTATATTGTGCAGGTATAAGTCGTTTAATAAGAAAGCGTCAAAAATGATTTATATATTATATGAAGGGTAAATAATTTATAAGTCAAAAGAAGTGTGTTTATAAAAAAAACATTTTTCAATTGATGCAAAATATTCAATTCATATTATATAAAATCGTTTTTTTATTTCTAAATGGCATCATATTATCATACATACTGCCATTATTGCTGTCAAGTATCAATATTGTATTTCTAGTAACGTTTATTTTATTCAAAAATAACGACATTAATTTAATAAATATTACAAACGTATGTATTAGGATTTTAATAGTAAAAAATATTTTAATTTATTCAGTTGATAAGGTAAAATTGTTAAAATTATAAATGCTGAATGCAAAAACAATTTTATAGACTTTATAATACCGAGAAATAACGTGTTAAAATATAATAACGGATTGCTCTATTTATTAAATATAATGTTTTTTTTTTTAATTACATTAAATTATAAACTTATTCATCTAGGATTAAAAAAAATAAGATAAACAATAAAACAATATTGTACTTTGATAATTATTCGACACAACAAATAAAATTAGTGTGGTATGTTGGCGAAGAAAAGATTCTCCACCTCATATATTTTAACCTAATCTATGTATATAACGTTTTAGAAACTTGAGCTTTAAGGGGATTGGAAGCGACGATTTTCTGTCTTTATCTAACACACGTGCAACATAAGATTATAGACGTGTTCTATGTCCAACGTACCGATTAATCTAATGAAGCGATAAGAATTCTGAAAACAGATTTGAATTTGTCGTCAAGTCTACTTGAGATCGACTTTCCCACATTTTTGATTTTTTGATTTAAACTTCTCCAAAAGTTGAAATTCGTAAATTTTTTAAGTACTTCTTATAATATATCATTTTTATGATTTTGGTGGGACAATATCAAAAATGTGGGAAAGTCGATCTCAAGTAGACTTGACGACAAATTCAAATCTGTTTTCAGAATTCTTATCGCTTCATTAGATTAATCGGTACGTTGGACATAGAACACGTCTATAATCCTATGTTCCACGTGTGTTAGATAAAGACAGAAAATCGCCGCTTCCAATCCCCTTAACCTGATCGTCAACTAATATTTACATAGAAATATAATATAAGTATCATGTTGGTACGTTAAATGAAAGTGCGTGTCGTAGGCTTTGATTTTATTAAATTCAAAAAAGTCAGTATATGTTTTCATAAAGGAATCGAAAAGTTTTTATACATATACTAATTTGCATCAAATGTGCGTGAATGTTTTAGCAACCTACCTACAGTGAACATTTATAACTCATTTAGGTATATATTTAAGTATACATTTTTGTATGATTATATTACAATATATATTTGAATAAAGTCTATCATTATAAGTTTACTGTTTTACCCGTAAACATGTACAGATATTATTTTAATTTATAGCCAGAAGGTACGGTATTGAAAATATTCATCACACACAGCACAATACCATTAATTTAAAAATAAAATTTTTATGTAAAATCAATCGACGATAAGAGTAGCAAAATATTTAAATTTAATGTTTGAAACGAAAAACGGAAAATTAAAAAAAAAGAACAATTAATTACTTGCAATGACAAAAGTAGTTCAAATGTATCAGATTTATTTATTCTAAATGGGCTACTATAAATCAAATTAATTGAGAAGCTTGTAAGTACCCACAAATATAAAATATGTTTAGTATACATATATGTATAAACTATAAGAATAAAGATACAGTTTTGGGGAATCAATTTAACAATTTCGTTGAAAAAATACATTAATTATTTGTGTATCAAACATTTATACCAGTTCATAAGATATTAAAACAAATAATTTCATAGTTCATAGGTAACTATAGTAGGTATGCGCGTTTTTTAGTATTGTAGTCAATGTACCTAGGTACCTATAACTTTATTGGATATAATAATAACTTGAGTGAGATGTTCGGAGAGAGAGACATACACACAGAGGATAGAGAGTTTTCAGTTATATTAGTTTTGTATCGTGGAAAATGATTTTTTAGTTTTTTTGTAATGATAAATTAATTAATTTTTTATAACTAAATTATTACCTATACGAGTGCACAGTCATATCATTTTCTAATGTATTCATACTTTTTTTATGTTAGGTATGTAAAAATGTGATAATTTTATACAAATAATTTTACTCGAGGAAATATAAAAAACAAATAAGTATATAAGCAGATTATAGGAACAAAACAGTAATTAAACATGTGTTTAAAATTAAAAAGGATCTCTCATTGATAAAAATAATACATAATTATGTTGTATAAAAGCGGTAGGTGTATATTATATGTTAAGTAGAAATAATCAAAATTATACTAACTAAGTGTTAATTCGTTATTCAAGCTGTAGGTATTTTGTATTATGATGTATAAGGTTAAAATGTTTCATAAATAGTAAGTACACGTCCGGTATTAGAACGATAGGGGAAATATAAGGTTCTAAAAAAAAGCAAATACCGTTTTATTGTTGTCCGGTAGAAAAAAAAATTAAAAAACACCGTTTCGAAACAATTAGGCAACAATTAGTAATTATTTTAATTCCCCGTAATAACAACCGTCTTAAAATAATTCATGAACTCGATTTCTTGTTCGTCAGGTCTAACAGAGTGATTATATTGTACGTAAATATATCCGTCGGTGTAGGTATGTGTTTTTTTTTTCAGAGATCATATTTTTCTTTCATACACTGTTCCGGCTCAAAACGTTTAATACGAAAACTCCAACAGATGGGTATCATTGCATTCGTAGTGGACATTTACATAATAAAATATTTGTTCTTTGTTCAAAAAAAAAAACGCACGGGTAGTTATAGAAGTACGCCCGGTATAAAAAAAACTCAAAAAACAATGCGAGGTACATAAATACTATGGAGTTTAGGTACGCACAGCACTCGTTCATTAAATAATTCCGAATGCAGAAGAAAAAAAGTAACGAAACACGGTATAATAATGTATTATTATTTTTATTAGTTTATTCGCGATGGACATACCGTGTATATTATTTTCTATCGAGTATAAGGTTTTTTTCCTCCTCCTCGAGTAGGATGGTGGTTCGGAAGTTTAGAAAGGCAAAAAAAAAATCAACGGCTTCGTCCACCTGCACTTCCTGTACAAAATAATCTCTTCCGAATGACTTCTGGTATTGTTTTTTTCCCCCTCGTCGTGTTCGTGCCCGTTGCCAAATGCAGCCGGTCCCCACCGAGTCAGGCGAAATCTAAAAACGCGTGTTAAACCGAATTCGTGTCGACGGCTAATTAACACACACACACACGATACTCCAACATAACATGAGTTACTATTATATTAAATATATACATTCATATGTATACATATTATTTGGCGACAATTTGGCTTTCGCACCTACACTCACATACATGAACACTCTGACAGCCGCAAGCCAACAGCCAACAGGTTCTTGGTTGATTATTATTATTAATTTTTCTTACCCTCGCAAATTACTATAATCATCTTCAACCACGACATCTTGTCTAACTTGTTTAACTATTTGTGTTTAGGTAAATGCGTGATTGCAAGGTATATAATTGACAAATGAAAAAAAATATACATAATATATATTAAACATACAATACATTATGTTATATTTATATCTATACCAACTTTATAAATATATAATATTCACCATATTATTACAATGTAAAAAGGTGTATCCATTAATACTGAATAATACTGTAGGTACCTATAGGCTATAATATTATTATAATGTAAAATATTAAATGTTTTAAAGAAAAAATTACAAACTTCTCTCGATAAAATGTATGGGAAATCGGCTATTATTATCTATACTACCTATGCAGCCGCAGAAGATAACTAACCACTTTTTATACATATAGAAATAATAACAAAAATATTATGTTGATGTATCTCGAGAGTTAGTTCATAAAAAAAATAACTCTTAACTGGCGGAAGTAACTAATTAATGTTTTACATGAAATACCTTTTCAAATTGGTAAGTACAAAGTATTTATGTCTTTTATAAAATTATATTATAGCACATTACATAATATTATATTATGTATCTAGTACACAATATATATTTTAAAAAGTTCGACCTAATGAAGTGGCATAACAAATCATGTTGTTATTGTATTTCACGAATTGTACAAATTCTAATGATTATAGTATTAATATATAGAATTTATTATATTATTGTTATTAAATGAATTACATAATATTTTAATATCAACGGATTGTCAACTTGTTGTTGTATCTGCTTTTAAAAATTAAAACAGTTAGCTGTGTATGTATGGTGTGCGCTTTCAAATACTCAGTGAATATACGTAAATACGTTGTAATGTTGTAGTTACTAATGTTTGTTTTAACAAGCTTTTTATGACCCCTCATGGAAGTGTACATTGTAGAGAATCACTATCATGTATATTAATTATTAATCGAACAAATCGTACCCATTCACGAATGATTGTCAAAGCCCACTGAAGACTTACAAAAATGTAAATGGGCATGATCGAGTGAAATGTACAAAATGAGACCGGTAGTTGTGGTCATGGGCTTAAAAAGTATTGATTATAATATTATACTATTACTTAGACCACTTTCTATTTTGTTTTTTTTTTTTTTTCAAACAATTTAATTTTGGTTAACAAGCATCAAGTCCGCGTTCCCTGAGGAGAAAATCACAGCCGCGTGTACGGGTCAAACAGAAATAATTCGATTTCGTGAAATAATTAAATCTCATGTTAGACTTCTCACGTTCTGTTATTCGCTTCTTTTGTACCTGCAGAGGCTGTACCGTTCACGGACGTGTGCGCCCAACAGCGTAACAAAGTAGTCGACCGGCAATGAAGCATCCCAACGTAATACCTATATCGTGTTACAAATACTCGGCGAATAATAATTGAACCACTATGCGTACGTATGCGAATATTAACATATTTTCGGTAGGCCTATGCTGAATTCAATCACACACCGTAACTGGTCGCCTTGCACGCTAAATAACAATACAATAATATATACATATTTGTCGGAATATTAAGATAAATGGACATATTTTATATTGAATCGAAATATGAAATAAAACGGTGTATCTCAAGTTTTTTTTCTCTATAAGAATTATTATGCTTCCACCGTCTAATGGCCATGCAATAATTGTATTATGCTGTATAGACATCGGCTTCAACCGTGTTGAATACTGCGTTTATAGGTACATTTTTGAGTATCTAAAGGTAAATTTTATGCTATACTCACATTCTCCTTGCATAATACTGTATAATATATGAATAACTATAATTTTTATCGGGATTTTATTTTATAATTTTTTGTGTTAGTGTACAAAAGAAACCATTAATACAGCTGTATTATAATAGACACAGTGTTGTTTATACGAATGTGATGGTCGTTCTAAAACATAATTTTCTTACATAATTTAATACTACGACCAACTACATCGTCACATATACGGTATACCAACCTTAATTTTTATTTGTTTACGAAGCTATTTTAAAAAAGTTGGTACTGTTTTTATTATTAAAAGTATACGAGGGAAAAGTTTGAGACACTTTTTTTTGTACATTTTGGATCTCAATCTTCAATTATTTTTCATAAGAACAGGTGTCATATTTAAACTACATGAAGTATAAATTTATAATATTCAAAAATAGTTAACATTAAACATTTAATGACAATTTAAAGCGAATAATAAACTAAAGATAAACTTAAAACATAAAATAATTCTATATAGGTTATGTTAGGCTAGTATCCAAAATTATTATTCTCCCAAAATGGTTGTAAAAGTAATTTAATAGTTCGTACAATCTTAATTTATATGTAATGTAATATTACATCATTGTTATGCATATTAATAAAAATGTTTGTTGCCTGCTGCCATTTAATTATTTAATATTATTATTAAGTATAGGTACCTATATCACTTTTTAGTTTTTATATGAAAAAATTTCAAGAAAATATCAAGCTACCATCCACGCGCTTTTCATTTAACACAATTCAAATAATCTAGTATCATATAGGTTACTGAAAACGCGTGTTGAATAGTTTATAGGTATAGTTTTTCCATGAATCAAATCACGATCATGAGACTAATATACAGGTGTAGGTATACATAATTTATTTTGATGGATAAATAGTTGCAGAGTTTATAGCTAGGTACTTTGTGCAGTCCAAGTACGATAGCTGTTCACATATATTACAAGTCCTAGAATATTTAACTTTTGACTATATATTATTATATTTACTTTCTACTAAGGGCAGTTGTTTATAGATGTTACTCGTGAAATAAAGAGGAAAAAACAGTATTATTTGTTTGCCTATATGTAATAATATAGCTGTATAATATTGTACATACAATGTTATTCGTTCTGAAACGAGTGTAAATTTAATCTGTATACCTACTGGCTAGTCACTAATTGTTACAAAGGCCAAAATCAAGAAAAATCCGAACAATTATTAACAATTTAACTACGTTATTGCTGAGTTATGACATAATATTTTTTTTTCAAAACCTCGGTATGGATATTATACTCAAATATTGACATAAAATGAGTCTATAGACTCTGCAGTTTCATATATAAAGTCGTGGCTCATGATATATAAAACCCGAACAGATAATTATTAATCTCGTAGATCGTACTTTTAGTACCTATTATATCGTATCATATTATATCCATATATATTATATATGTATAGGTATTTTGTATTCATAGATTACGGTACGTGTATATTATATAATATAATATTAGGACGATATAAAGGCATTTATAAGTGATGCACTACACACAAGCGGACAAGACATCGCACACTGCACACGTCGTATAATAGCGAAATGCGCTCAAAACAAACCCGCCGAGGCGCGAAATGAACTTGCATTGTTTCATAATTTATAACACATCATCAAATAGTAATGTACCCAAGTGAATAATAATAATAAACCTGAATTTGAAGTAATAGTATGAAGAAAAATCAATCGCGAGTGGATTGTAAAAAGAATGAAAGAAAAAAAAACGTCAAAAACTACGTCATAATAAAATACCTATCTCAAACGTCAAAAGTTCTAGTGGTGGCCTATTACGCGAGTATATTATATTATTATTATTCTTAGTCGTGATAGTGATCACGGCAGCCATGGGGTATACCGCGGGTTGTGACATGCGCGCATATTCGAGGGGCGACGGTCGTCATGCGTTGGCGCGGAGAAGGCGGGCAAGACTGACGTGCACCATTATACGACATCTAACATATTATTATTATTATTATTATTATAGGTAGTAGGTACACTACGTATTAGAATATAATATTATCAAATGATATTACATAATATTATTAATAATTATCGTTTATCGAGGTATACGAACACTCACCGATATCGGATAAGTATATATATGTTACAGTAAATTATGTTATATCGGAAAATAACGTTATCCGCCGGTTATTAACCGTTATTTACCTACAGATATGGCCATATGGGAATTATCGTTATTTTCTAGTGAATACCGTTGATAACCGAATAAAATGGGAAATGTTGTTTATAAAATGGATTTTAAACGAGCAATGATAAGGTGACCGCTAAGGGCATAATATTATGGTGGTCCAACATTAGTGGTAACTGGAGGTTACTTTTGAAAATCATAATATTATATACGGTTTTTGCAAAGATGATGATATTTGATCGGTCTTACCTAGCAACTTGGTGACTGCTCCTTGTTGGTTGAACACGTGATGGGCGATTTCCGGATACCCGCGATATCTGTTGGATAGCTCGAGAAGTCGCGAGTGCTGCTGGTGCTGTTGGCTGGCCGCCATAGCGTACAGTTCGCGCAGCGTGGCCGGTGACGGAGACGGCGACGGCGACGTGGACGGTGGCGGTCTACCAGCGACTGCGGTTGTGATGGCTGTACAGGACAAAACAAATAAGACAAATGAATATATTATTATTTAATACCTATACATTGTTGTTGGTTAATAGATTTTTGACAGCCCTATATTGCATTTATACAGCATATTATAATGTACCAGGCGATTATAAGTCATATTATATTTAACGTAAAACATTCGTTATTTCAAAAACTATTAACACATTTCTGTATACCTAGGTATAAAAATTAAATTTCTGATAAGTTATAACTTTATAAGTTTTGATGAGTGGATTAGTGCACAATAATAGTTTTTAGGTACTTTGCCACTCTATATTCAGCTCATCTAAACTTTAAATATACCTACCTCATAAACTATTCGTCCAAAACTCCTAAAAATATTCTGTATAGTGTTTTGCAATAGAAATTTAAAAAATATTTTGTCAATTTTCATTAACAAAAGTAAAACAACTTAAACTTAAACGATAAAAAATGATAAAAATTTAATTTTTTGTTTCCAAAATCTTATTGTGCAGTAATTGCTTAAAATTATGTAGAATAGTATTTTCCAAACGATAATATAGTTTTTAAAATGATGAATATATTTTTTGATAAAGTAATCAAATGGCATACCTTTATTACCTTTAGCCTTTAGGTATAATATTATTTATAGGTACTAAATAATATAGGCGTATACTATACGAGGGCACGTGACGCTAAAATAATTTAGACAACATAGACAAAAAAAGTAGGAAACGTTGGTCTGGACGGAAGTACCTACATAACCCTTATATACGCTCACACTCAATATATAATATTATGCTTATAGGCACGCACACAGAGAGAGGCCTTTATATTATGTAGGTTCAGTGTTTGCATACCGTTTTGATCGCGTGTATACGTAATTATAAATGACATTCGATATATTATGCACCTCCGTCGTCGGAGCGATGTGCTTCCCCGATTGGGTGGTATTGTATAATAATAATAAAATAATAATAATAATAATAATCTACAATGGCCTCTATAATATACATTATGCATATAGACATTTTTTTTTTTTTTTTAATCGGGAATCAACCGAACTTTTTTATTAGCGTTTACGATTTTTACCTTGAAGTATACAATTTCAAATATACATATTATGAAATATTTTTTTTTGTCTCCAGTATAACATTTACAACTTTCTATATTATAATTAATGGTTCATATTCAAATTTAAAAAAATGTACATAGATTGTTTGGCTTATAATTTGGTGATTTTTGAAATATTGTTATAGTTTTAAATGCATTTACAGTCACTAGTCCTCTATACCTACCCATATATTGTAATTTATAATATTATATAATATACATGTATACTAGTATACATCTAGATGTACATACATAGTCACTGAATTTTATGTAGGTTTTCGTCTTGCTCCGTTCACCTGCTCTGTTCAATCCTATACAGTATTATTATTGGTGACTTGAACTAAGTAAAAATATTTAATGTTTCATTAAAAAAAAAGACTTGATATAAGGTGTAACAGCACTATTTAACAAATTGCCATTACAAAAGTTGCTATATTTGTCAAATAGTCTCGTCACAAAGTCACAGCAATTCTATAACAACATTTTAGGATGTTTTTCAAATCGAAAACGTTAAAAATTAGTTGTTCAAGATTTTTAAAATAAAAAATATAGATTTTAAAGTAATGTTCTAATGTATGATAATATAAGTGAATATAAGTGTATTTATTAATATCATCATATTTTGTATATATTTAGTACAATCAAAACATCACATTTGTATTAAAAAAAATATAAGTGATAGATTTATTAAGAAAAATACATAGAATTGCAAAAAAATAATTATTATTAACGCATGTTACTGATAGTCATCTGTTTATTTTATGCTAAGTAGTAATTAATAACTGAAACAATTAAACAAATCGTATCTGCATATGGCATTTTATAAAATAATAATGTGATATTATTATGTAGCTCTGGCTTATAACGTGAGAACACGATTCAGTCATTGTAGACTTGAAAAAATTAAGGTAACTATAAGACATTGGCTATTTGGCTCAACAATAGGGCCTCATGCATGTGACCAGACTGATACTTTATAATATATTTACTTATCCTTATTATTAGAAATGATATGCCAATTAATATTTATTCTATTCAACAAGAAAAAAACGTGCAGGGCACAGCTTGTACTTATCTATAATTATAATGTATAGGTATTCAATAATTTTACGTTTTACCGTCGTAATTCATTTATACATGGCGAAATACATACAAATATATATATCCATACTACACCCTCCATCTTATAATATTATTATATAGTGCTCTCCATATTTTAATAAAATATATTATTATGATTATTGTTTTACCTATTTTTGGTTCCGAAATGAAAACTTTTTACGAAATTTCAAACCGTCGACGATTACATGAAATATCACACGCGTTAAGCCACTAATATTACATTACATACATTATAATATATACAAATTGAAACATATACGTACTATACGCGTATAAATTGAATTTTTTCGGCACACGCGTTGACTTTTAATTAATGTACATAGTACATCATGTTTAAACTGTACAGCCCTGTAACTGGTATGTGATAGGTATACTCATATTAATAAATAACGGTAATTGCATGACCGCACAGTCAACCCTGTAGAGCAGCAGGAGCGAACGTCTCGTTCGGGATTTGAACGCGGACTACGAGACTGCTATATTACGCGACGGAGAAGAGTTGAGCGGCATATATTATTATAATGATTTATATTAAACGCGTATCTACAAGTATACAACAGCGGCAACACTATAAACCGCGTAACCGGTATAATGACGTATACCTACGATACATATACAAATCATTGCGCCGAGACGGTACCCGCTACCTGTACCTATTTACTCTCATGTGCGTGCGTGTGCGCGTGTGTCATTACGCGACTATATAATAATATAATAATATAATTCGATATGTTTGAGCTGAACGAAAACTATTCGGCGGCGTATTACAATGTACAATATTATGTTATATTGTGCGACATTGTTGTCCGATATTTCATTGGTTATACGTATACACTACACACATACGTATATATACCAACGAGACATAATATATATAATTTTATAAACATTATTGTAATACGACTCGTCGTGTTTTATATTCGCTACCTATTATCGTCGACCATATATTTTTTTACGGTCAGTTTTTTTTTTTTTTTTTTTTTGACGTGAATGTCAAAAACTCATCGCGATTCTCACACGCACACGAAAATAAAATAAAAATAATACTACGATGCCCCGAACGGCGGCGATCGAATGTCATATTAATCGTAAATAGGTATAATATACAATAATAATATGTCCTATACACCTCTTTTATCTACAATATTACATTATATTATTGCGTTTATGAAGCCGAGAGCGGTGTTTTTTTTTCCCTATAGTCGGCGGTGACCAATTGACGCGAAGATTTATGTACGGTACGTCAAACGCGGATTCGCCCATTACACGAGGAAATGGCAACCGCACACACACACGTACTGCAACGATCGTCGTAACCGCCGCAATTATCGATTTTCCATATATATTCGAAACGGATGCGACGAGTGGTTTTTTTCTCGCTCCATAAGCAACCGTGCAAGTATTTCTCTGCTCTATTGAAATGTCCTGGTGGACAGGTGTGGGTAGAAAATTGTAGGGGAAAAGACAACGTTCGCGCCATTCGATTTGGTATTTATCGTAATATGGCCCCCGTGGGCAACAAATGTGCGCGCCATAATAGACGTACCTACGTAAAAATATTTGTCCAATAGATTTTCTACGCGTGTGTGTGTGAGTGGACGCAGTGTAATCGCTTTTCTCTCTTTCCATCTGTCTCTCTCTCTCCCCCGGTCTCTTTATAAAGCGATATGATATATTATAATGAAGGGCAACACAATAGGATAAACACACGGATCCTCGAATTGTACAACGTCGTTATTATGCGCTTATTTGTGATATTTCACGATAATTTTCAGGCAAATTTCTCATCCAACCGACATGCGAATATAATATATTGTATGTATAATATGTATACCTATAGACCAGTGATAATAATAATAATAAATAATATAATAAAATAACAAATGATAGCAAAAAACCGTAAAGGTGTTACACGCGTGTATCTACCTATAATAATAGAGAATTGCTCGACTATCTTATATGTATAATGTATATACCAACCTATTATTATATATATTTATTTATATTATGTATAGGTATATATTATACCGCAAACGCTAACAGTCGCCACCGATGTTTCCACAATAATAATAATAATATAATAATACACTTGATTATTAGTACCTAATAATAATAATACCAACGTGTCGGTTACACTGTTCTCTGAGATATATAATATAATATAATACGCATAATATATATTCACTATTATTGTCATTATTATTACTCTTGTTACTTTTGACGGCTTTAAAATTCGTTTGTACACCATATTTACGCTTCTTATATGGCCCACTTTTGAAGAAATTGACAAAATTAAATTGGTATAAACGGATTCCGAAATTACGGTAATTTGCTTATTTATGTTACAAAATAAAATGAAAACATTTTTACCAATTTATACCTGATTTAATAAATTATTGCTATTATACACCGTTGGAATGACCTCTATAATATTTGATATACCTAGTCTAAAATAGTGTTTGCAGGGACTAATCTATCGATCGGGTAAGTACACCTGAGAGATAGCATCATAAATTTAGAGGTATTTAACATAATATACGTAATACATAATATTTATTTAAGACTTAATGTATTTTTCTTGGGCTTAATTGGTAATTTGCACTAATACCAAAAATTATTTGTTCAATAACATAATATAATTTTTCTTATCATTCATAAAGAAAACTACGCTATAAAATATCAATTATACATGGCCAAAAACATATTAAGAAGATTTCAAATATTAACAGAATTAAATGAAAATTGTTCATAAATCCAGTTTTGTTATTTTATTGTATTTTAAA